ATACATACGAGGTCTTGCAATCGCAACTAGTTGCATGCTTCCTGGTGTTCTTAGCAGCTGTTACAAAGAGCCTTATGGTGATGAATATCGTCAGCAATTCCAATTTTGCAGATGGAGAATGTGGAAACGTTGAAGAACAGTACTTTGTACGTATAGCGGTTCTGGATAGCAAAATCCTTCGTGTGATTTGGATCATTGCTGTTCAATCTATCAAAGAAAGCAGCTCTTAACCGATTGCAATTGCAGACAGCATTGTCACTTCTACCAAGAATCCGATTGAATTCCTATATAAGAGTTTGAAGTTGCGTTCGCAATGATTAGTCGTCGTAAAACGCGGTTTTTATACGATGTGCTACGCCTCCCACCTGTTCACCGCTACGACGATGATATCTTTCGCTGAGTCCGCATATCAATCTCATTTTAAGCCCTAGCGTTAATGTTGAGTTTGCTATCGCAACCATGTGGTTGTTTCGTCAATTTTGCTTTAGCAAGAGGTGTTTCTGTTGCTCTCTCTTTACGCCCGCGCGGTAACTGCCGAGAAGGATGGCAAGTTGCAACATTCGTATACGTTTTTCTACAGCTTTGAGCAGAACCCTCCAGGTACCTGTACGAAGTTAAATTAGCGTATTCTTCACTTGAATGTCATGCGTTATCTACATGGCCAGTTGCTCGTGAATCAGTCGTATCACGATCAAAAACATAGAAGGGAACGTCTCACATGGAGTTGAAGATGCGAATTTCTCTGCATGATTAATAGAGGAGTAGGCAAAGTGAAGCTAGATTCGTTCTCGCCATTCAGTTAAGGTTTGAAAGAGTTACCACTAAAGTGGCAACAAAGAAAGCAGCACTTGAAAGTCAACTTACAGATTCAAGAGCAGCTCTGCTGGTCACAAAGGAAGCTAGACATTTGACGGAGAACTTGTTGATAGAGGCGCAAGGTTTAAGGAGATGAAGCTGAAGGTGAAGTGAACACATGAAGAAATTTGTGTCGTGTTCGCGCATGCGTTGGCTGATGCTTCCAACGCTAGCAAAGATTTTAAGAACTCGAGAAGCTGCTACAGCAGCACATTGCTACCACAACCAAGCCAGCTCGGGATTCAGGTTCGAAAAGCCGAGCATAGGTTAGTCCAACTAACAGAGGAAATGCCATATTTTGAGGATTTCACCAAAACGACTAAGATGCAAATTGGCAACGCTCAATATGAGTTGAAGCAAGCTATCCAGCCGGCCCAGCAGTTCACCTGCGATCTGAAATGGTGATCACGAAAATGCGATTGACGAGCTGAAACGCGCTCAGGCTGCGAGGACAGAGAAGAGAACGATCCTGAAGCAAAATCTGGGAAGTCCTGCGATTCCATCGGACGGGTGCAGGAGCTCACAAATGTCATCGTCTTTAGGATCCGAACTTCCAACTTCTTCTTCATTATCAGAGGTACAATCATTACTCCGACAAAAAATTACACCCACATCTGTTTCGAGAACGTCTGCTCGCAATCCAGAAGTTCATTGTCCGTAGTGACTTGGCCATCTTCAGCACCACAATTAGCACCATTCACAACTCCAATCTGTTAATCACTTTCACTCCCTTCCTCATTTTCTAAATCCATCATCTGCAAGAACTGCGGTTTTGCCACGAGGTATCCGTTGGCACCGACGGCACATTCGCATCCCAATGAGAGTCTAAAATCGGAGAAGTGATAGATCCGCATCGTCCGTCGTTGATTCCCTCCACATCTCCAGCAGGTACTTCTGCTCCGCTGGATATTTCCTTGTCGACCCCCTTTGCGCCTCTGATAAACTCAGATAACACCCATTCCGCGTCGTCGTGCAATCGCACGACGCCAACGTCACGGCGGTCTGTACACTTCGATTACGAGGAACAAATTGCGCAATATGTGGCGAATGTCGTGTTCCTGTGCATAGTGGCTGAGTAAAAGGTTGCAGTTAAAGTATACGTTGGCTAGTCAATAAGAAAGGGGGTTGTCACCTTTGAGGTTTCATCTTTAATCCCAAAGTGCTCGGTGGGAAGACGTTCTTTGCTTGCTTCCAGTCTACTAAGCTATTCCTTGCCCCGCCGATCCCCTGTGCAATTTGCTACAATACATTATCGGATGGAGACTGTACCAGTGCCACAAAATGTAATAGCATTGCTTCATCACCCAAAATGAATAATGGTATTATGGATGTATATTCTTATTAAGATTGTAAAGCCAAAACACTACCGTCTGTATTATTAGTTACGCTGTCCGTCGCAACAGCTTGAAATGATACATCACAGCTTCGTCTTCCCGTGTTAATCGCTTAATTTTGCCACAAAGAGATTGTATTTCTTACACAATTGATCTGATCAATCATTTTCTGCTGAACTTATCAATAACCTTGTAATTTGTGATTTTGCAACGATTTATCGTCAAGTCCGTCGCAGTAAGGACCACCAGAAAGCGACATCACAGCCTTATCTCAAGAATAAAATGCTAGAGGTATTTATTCATCTCCATTAAATATGCAGTTTTTCTTTTCCATGAATAAAAAGCTTTACGAGGAAGCAATACTTGTGTTTTTTCAGAAATTATGATATTTTCTACTTTCGGTGGCCCTGGATGCCGCTCCTCGCGGCCAAGACAAAACAGAATTTAACGAATATTGCTCCGTCCCATATATATTGACCCATCTCATGATTTATCGTCCCTCTGTTGTCAAATTTCATTCAAATTGATCAACGTTTGTCTTAAAACATGCATCTCAGTCGCGCGGTCCAAACCGTGTGCTCATTTAGTCAAACCGGTTCATATTGACCTCGATTTAGTAAAATGAGCGGCTGAGGGGGCATTATATGACCTGGGAGAGGGGGGTATAGATGATAGATATCGCCCAGCTTCGCTATATTTGACATTTTATTCAATTCTATATTGAGGACATAATGCCATCGCACACCCCCACGAAGAAGCGGCGCGAGCTTAGTGACAACGAGAGAGAAGACGCGGTCGCGGAGCTGTTGAAACGGTCGGTTGAAGACGTTCCTCGCACGGGCGCCATGAAGGAGGTTGCGGCTAAGTTCTGTGTCGACCGCAAGACGTTGGCAAGGTTGTGGAAGCGAGCCAAGGAGGAACAAGGCAGGACAGGCGTCCAACGCTCTCCTTCCCACCACCACCAGCGCGGCCGCCCCAAGAGGATCTCTCCGCCAAGATAGAGAGGCTACGTAACACCCCGTTGGCACAACGAAGCACCCTGAAATCAGCATCTGCAGACTCTGGTGTGTCACGAATCACGCTACATCGTCGCATACAAAGCGGCCAAGTTGTGGCTCATGTGAACACCGTTAAACCGTTGCTCACGGACGTGAACAAGGCCAAGCTGTTGTAGTAACGAGCTTGGCCGCTCTCCTTCTCTCTCCTTCTTGATGACACCAGATATTCAGAAACTGGATCTACTCGGATATTGAGGAAAGCTCCCACTAAATAATGAATCACTCGCTCTTTTGCTTTCCAAAGCTTATGTGTTTCTTGCTGTCCGCTCAACAGGTTAACAGCCCCAAGCTCTGCTTATCTTTTCCGGTCACTGCAATATGGATTCAAATGTGCCCCAACGTCAAGAAGCACTCGGCGATCAGCAACCCAATGGTGACGAACCTGCCGGTGCCTTCAATGAGGGGATCCCTCCTCTTCCTCGGAGGATTCCTCCTGCTGCCGAACGCATGAGCCCAGCTCGGGGCGAGAATCCTCGAGATGCGGGGCGTGATGAAAACAATCGTGATCACAACCGAGTAAACACCAACGCGGCCCGGTACGATCGGGTGATCAAGAGTTACAAGATCGAAGAATTCGATGGCACGCCCCAACCCGGAGCTCTTGGCTCGGGCATTTCTCTCTGACTTACGCGCTTTGAAGCCCTGCTTTGTACTCAGGAAGATCTTCATAGCCTGGTACTGCTGGATCGACTGAGAAATGCTCTCCCTTTTCAGCATCTCCGAGGCGTAGCCAGTTAGTGGTACGTAGCAAACGTACGCTATCTGAGAACGAGCCTGTTTGAGCGAGTCTGTGAGGACATAAGAGCTGAGTTCAGCTGGAAGTTGTCCAACCAGCAGATAGTGCTAAGAGTAGCCAGTGAGAGAAAGCGGCATACTGAGAGATATCGAGAATACTCTCTGTGACTTCGAGCCATGGCAGCAACGGCCACTACCCACGGGTTGGAGACCTGCGAGTCGAAAAATGCTGCCCTCAGCTCATTCATTGCCAATGCGTGGTTTAAGCATGCGGACAGCCTTCGTCTGGTTGTTCGTGAGGACTCTGACCACCCGATTCGTGAAATCGATAGAGCCATTCAGAAACTCTGTTCCATCGCTGGCCATCAAGGAATTGAGAAGCCCCCACTGTCAAAGTCGAGTCAGTCGCGCCCTACTGGAGCTTCGCCCCGTATTTCCAGCGTCGACGGAAGTCAATCCGAGTCCATCCTCGGAAAAAGGAGGGTTACCTTCAATGGTGACGGAAAAACTAAGCGTCGTGATTTCTCTAAAGCGCGATGCGATACCTGCGGAGAGCTTGGGCACACCACGAACTATCACGATAAGTACGTTCAACTCAAGCGAAGTGGTATGGCGAATGCTGCTCGCTCTTCAATCGCCAAATTCCATGAAGAAGCTGAAACGGATGAATGCGAAGATGCCCAAGACGGCGACGAAAGCTCTGAACCTCGGGAATGAGGGTCGCGGGAGTCGTTGAAAACCAGGACAAACATTTTTGACCCTGGGATTTTCAAGGACGCCCCGATCATCGACTCTGGATCCAGTTATCACGTTACTGGATCACGTGAGCTCCTTCACGACCTTAAGCCTTGTGAAACTCACGCAATTGAAATTGCTGATGGCGATCTCATCTGTGGTAACCAGATGGGAAAAATGATACTGGGCAAACTCAATAATGTGGTGCTTGACAATGTCGTCTATGCCCCTGGCCTGAGGAGAACGTTGATTTCTGTAAAGAAACTCATCGATCTAGGGATGAAAGGGTGAAATTTACGGACGAGCACTGCTTGATTTATGATAAACCTGTTCTCCAAGGATCTGCTTGTCGTGGAGTTTACTCTTTGGATATGCCCGCTGGCATGGCCTCGGCCGCCCTCCGACCCAATTCTATAGAGGACTGGCATCAACGACTAGAACATCTGAACTACAAGTCCATTGTCGAGTTGAACAAATCGAACGCAGTTAAGGGCCTCAACGTCGTCGGCCCGCTCACGCCCTCAGAAAGGTGTGAAGTCTGCGATGAGCAAAATCACTCGTGCTCCTGCACCCCGCCAGGCCTCTCGACCGATCTGTGCCCAAGACGAAGTATGCCATGGTGATCTTGCTGGACCCTTCCAAAGGAGCTACAATGGCAACAGATTCTACTATGCCTAGAAATGGAAAGGGCATTCTACCGTCTACTTTATTAAGAAGAAAAGTGAAGCCACTCGTTGTTTTCGGGAGTTCGTCAAGATTGTGAACCGTCGCTTCAAGGAGCAAGATCGCTTCCGAATCTACCGATCCGACAATGGTGGGGGTCTGTAGCCGATGACTTCCGCGAAGTTTGTCATGAGGAGATAACGGTGGAGATGTCGGAGCCCGAGGCTCACCACCAGAACGGTGTCGTTGAGCGCACACATCGCACCTTGTCTGATGCGGCTCGAGCCCTACTCATTCAAGCCAAGCTTCCCCACCACTTATGGGAATATGCAGTCAGAAGGGCTGTATATTCTAGGAACAGAGTGCTGTCCCAAATGGACAAGGAGAAAACTCCGTTTGAAAAGTTTTGGAGACGCAAAACTGACCTGATGCTGATCAAGCCCTTTGGACAACGGTGTGTAGTACTCATACCTCCTGAAAAAAACGGTCAACTCAGTACAAGTTCCGGCCCAAAGGGAGGACGGGTATCTTCCTGGGGAGTGACCCTGAACGCAAAGGATACTTTGTCTACGTATCTGGACCAGGTCATCGAGTTGTTCACAGCCGGAGCGTTGTTTTTCTAGAACCTCCCAGTCTTCAACCCATTCCTGCTTCATTTTCTCCACAGGAGGACCCGCTCAGGATTGTCGGGGAAGATGACAAAGATGACCTGACGTCTACCAATATGAACCGCATAGTCAATGACGGACTGAATTCGGGAGAGAATGAAGCCAAGGGCGACAACCAACAAGAGAACGTCGGACCCTCGCTGAACCCAGCGCAAGTGGCCGAATACAATGGTTCTGTTGGATTGACTCTTCATCGTCGGTCGGAGCGTCTCTCTAGTCAAGCTGTCGGTACGGCTCTCAGTGCGGCTCACGTAGCCTTACACGAAGTCATTCAAGAGTCCGTAAACTTGAAAGAAGCTCGAGCATCTACTGAATGGGTACGCTGGGAGAAGGCTATCCAAGATGAAATCGCTGCTCTGAAGGCCAATGATACTTTCGAACTTGTCGATCCGCCCCCAGGAGCGCACGTTGTTGGATCAACCTTTGTTTATCGTGTGAAGTTAAACCGATCCGGGGAAGTGGAGCGTTTCTAGGCCAGAATATGTGCCCAGGGCTTTACGCAGGAGTTTCTTAAGGACTACTTTGAAACCTACTCTCCTGTGACCAAGTTAAACTCAATCCGCGTGTTTCTTGCAATGGCGACCCAAATGGATATGCGCGTTCGCCAAGGGGATGTACCTACGGCTTACGTCAACGCTGGACAGTCCGAAGTAATTTACGTGAGACAGCCTCGCGGGTTTGAAGAAGGTAATCGGTCAAAGGTTTGGCGACTCAAAAAAGCTTTATACGGTCTAAAGCATGCTGGCCGAGAGTGGAACCGGGAGATCAACGGATTCCTTGTCGAACTTGGTTAAACCCCTACTCGTGAGGATCCTTGCGTGTATATCCATTCTACTAACGGTTTGGTTGTGTTGATCTATGTAGACATCCTTATCGGATATCAAGAGGAAGCTGAAATGGTCAGTTTACTGCGAGCTCTCAATGAGAAATACGGAGTCAAGAACCTCGGTGAAATCAATTGGTTCCTTGGAGTTCGAGTTAAAATGGATAACAAACTACAGACAACTACCCTAAACCAATCTCAGTTTGCGCTCGAAGTTCTTCGCCGTTTCGGGATGGAGAATTGCAGACCCCGGAAGACACCGATGGATCAAGGCATCATTCTGTACCGACGTACCCAGAATGAAGAAGCTGCCGGTGATGTTCCTTATCGTCAGGCGGTTGGAGCTCTACTTTATCTTTCTCGGGTCACCAGACATCGCATACACCGTAAGCCAAGTGGCTGAACAGGCGTCCGACCCTTCCAAGTTGCACTGTTGGTAGTCAAAATACATTGCTGGAACCACCCGATTGGGATTGATTTATCGTCGAAACGCTGATACAGTTCCAGTTCGCGTCTTCACTGACGCAGACTGGGCAAACAACGAAGAAGATCCGAAATCGGTGTCGGGCGTCCTGGTTCAGGTATTTGGGTGTCCCGTATCCTGGCAAACGAAACGACAGCGAATAGTCTCTAAATCATCCACAATAGCGGAGTACCTGGCAGCTGACGACGGTGTTGAGGAAGCCGTATGGACGAAAATGCTCGTGGAGCGGCTTTCGAGATCCCAAGATGGGCCTGCAATCCCTGCCATGATGGACAACAAGTCCACCATCAAGAGACTCTCCAACGGTAAAATTTCGGAGGCCCAGAAGACCGTCGATTGTCGTTTCTTCTCGATTCGCGACGCTGTGTCCAGCGGACTACTACAACTTACCTATTGCCCCACCACTAAAATGCTGGCCGACGGATTAACTAAAGCTCTGGGAACAACTCGATTTCGTGAACTACGCGAGTCGATCGGAGTGAGACCATTCGCAACCAGCGCTCGCGGGGAAGTGTTGGAGTAACGAGCTTGGCCGCTCTTCCTCTCTCTCCTTCTTGATGACACCAGATATTCAGAAACTGGATCTACTCGGAAATTGAGGAAAGCTCCCACTAAATAATGAATCACTCGCTCTTTTGCTTTCCAAAGCTTAAGGGTTTCTTGCTGTCCGCTCAACACAAGCGGTTGGGGTGGTGCATCTCCAACGTCGAAACGGACTCCCTTTATTTCAACGACGTGTTCGATACGATTCATGTGGACGAAATGCTGTTCTATTTGACAGAGGCTAGGCGTCGCTACTATTTACTGCCTGGGGAACCTATCCCACATCGCCAAGTGCGCTCCAAGCGCTACATCACAAAGGTGATGATGCTGGCTGCGGTGGTGCGTCCCCGTTGGGATCTCGATTCAAGGGCCTGCTTTGACGGGAAATTGGGCATTAGGCCATTCATCGAACGGAAACCTGCTGTTCGTAGCAGCCGCCGGCGACCTGCTGGAACGCTGGTAACGATGGAAGGGCGCGTTAACCAAGAAACCTACCGAAACATACTAATTCAACAACTTCTCCCTGCCATCCGTGAAAAGTGGCATTTTAGTGGCCGTGGAGGCTGCGTCAGAGTGCAGCAAGATAATGCCCCCGCCCGCATAGATACCAGTGACCAACGGTTTGCTACTGCTGTTGCTGAACAAGGACTTAACGTCCAGCTTTGCTTCCATCCGCCCAACTCGCCCGATTTCAACTGCTTGGACCTCTCGCTCTTCTCTGCAATTTAAGCTCGTCAACGTCTGAAGTCTCCAATGACCATGGACGAACTTATAGAGGCCGTCGCCGACTCTTACTGCGAGTTGCCTCCGTCGAAGCTGAATGCAGCGTTTCTCAGTCTTCAATGCTCCATGGACATGTGTATCAAGGACGGCGGTGGCAATGCGTTTAAGCCTCGACATATGGCGAGGGATAAACTTGAGAGGGAGGGGCGACTTCCTTTCTGCCTGCAATGCTCTCCTGAAGTTGCTGCGATTGTGTCTCAGAACCACAAAAATAGTACTACGTTTCGTACTGAAAGCTAATATAATTATGGGGCATCATTTTTAAGACAAGAAAAGAGTAGTATGGGTCAGCATATATGGGACGGAGTAGTAAGCGTTTGCGCTAAACACTGTGAATATTAATGAGGCTTTGCTGGGCTCAAGGTCCTATTGGTGCTTCCTGGATCATGCATGACCCTACTTTGCTGATAATATTGCTGCCGTGTTAGCGCGGCATGGCATCCATTCTCGACATAAATCCATACAGTGCAAAGTGAATCATAATATTTCTTTGTTTGGTGCATTATTTACAAATTAATAACATTTTAAGGCTATTTAGTGCCCCAACATAGATAAAGTTTTACTAGCTCTAAGCTATTTTTCACCAAAAAATGTTTTCTCCGTAAAGTTTGCCGCAAGGATTATTACGTAGAGGAACCGTGAGAAACAAACGAGTCAGATCCGGTGATTGGTCGAGGCATGGGCTTCCTATCCGCTTTGCTATCATCGTGTTCGAGGACATGTGGCCAACTCAGCTGTTTTGCCTGGTACGAGTCCACGCACTTGTAACCCGCAGTCGTCGACCATGGCGCCCGAGACTGCCGCGTCCCCGTCCGAGCGCCTGCCGCGGTTGAATCTGGACGAGCACCTCGAGCCGATCGACAGTTCGTCCTCGCTCATTGACGACGCGACTACCAGCTCGACGACGTCGTCGGACAACAGCAAGGACAGCAGCACCAAGACAACAACCAAGACCAAGACACAACCTCCCTCCAAGGAAGTCGACAAATCCAACCTCCAGGATGAAGTCAGCGACGCTAAAGTCTCTAGATTCCGACAGTTTTGCAACTGGGTGCAACACCTACGCGATACCTTCGGTACTGGGTTTTTGGTGCTGATCACAGTAGTGTACGTGGTTCAGGGCTTTTCCAGCTTCACAGCGTTAGCTGTCAACTATTTCTTCAAGGACAACTTGGGCCTACAGCCGACACAGTCGCAGTTGCTACAGATGATCGTCAAAGTTCCATGGAGAGTGAAACCAATCTACGGTATCCTCTCTGACAGTTTGCCTTTATTCGGCTACCATCGAAAGTCCTACATGATGATGTGTAGTGTCCTGCAAACGGCAGCCACATTAGTTATGGCAGTACCTGACCTCGTCACAACACCAGCTATAGCAGTACTCATGCTCATGCTGCAAAGTTTGTCGGTAGCTGTAATCGACGTGGTGATCGACGCTAGAGTTGTGGAGATCTCGAGACTAGATCCCGAAAATGGCGCGAATGATCTCCAGTCTTTGTCGTGGATAGCCACGTCGCTAGGTGGAATGCTCGGTGCCTTCCTGTCTGGTCCAGCAACGGCTGGTTTAGGTGTGCGTGGAGTCTTCTTTGCTGCTGCATTGGGACCAATTACGACACTACTGTTCTCTATGTTCATGGAGGAATCCAAGAGCACGCTAAGCAAGCGAGACTTTGTGTCTTCGGCGACCAAGCAGCTTCGACAGCTCAAGATTGCTATTTGTACTCCCGTAGTGTGGATGTGTGCGCTGTGGGTGTTCATCTCACACGCTATCAGTCCTGCATACACGCAGATACTTTTCTTCTTCTCAACGGACGTGCTGCATTTTTCACCCGAGTTTTTGGGAACGGTCTCGGCTATTGGGTTTATCTTCCTCATGGCAGGGACAATGCTGTACAACACGTTCTTCACGAACGTGTCCTTCCGTAAGATCTTCCTGGTCGCTCAGCTGTGTCTCGCTCTCGTGTCACTCGTCGACGTCGTGTTGGTGACACGCGCCAACCTGAAAGTTGGCATCCCAGACAAGGCCTTTGTACTGGGTGACCACGTGGTGGCAGACGTCATTGGTCGTCTGAAAACCATGCCGATCATGGTGTTGTGTGCTAAATTATGCCCCAGAGGCATCGAGGGTACACTGTTCGCGTTGCTTATGTCCATTTCCAATCTCTCCTACAGTGTGAGCGAATTCTGGGGGGCCTTTGTCTGTGACTGGATGGGGATCACGAAGGACCAATACGAGATGCTGTGGCTAGCCATTGTGATACGCAGTGCGTTGAAGGTTGTGCCGATCTTCTTCCTCTTCTTGATCCCATCAACAGACCCGCAAGAAATTATCGACAAACTGGACTTTAGCTCGCCAGCCCATACTGACCAAGAGGACGACGACGAACACACCGGTACCATTCGAGAGGACCACAGAGTCGACACCTGCTCACCCTCTGAACAAGTGGTACTCAAAGGCACAACATCATCTGCATCTGTCGTTTAAAGGTTTAGAACGAAGCATAAAGTGAAGGGTAGTAACACTTTTGCAATCCATATTTTGTATCTCAATACATAAACTATGAAATCCGAAAAAAAACAACAGAATATTATTTTTTATGCCTCCGAAAGCTACTCGTTTATAATCAACTCTTTACTACGCTACCCTACGCTAATAGCTACTAAATCAAAAAACGGAGGTCAACCACGCTACAGTTCACCTTACAGGATTCCGAGACAAGCTCGTTGGTACTTGTCATACCAGCGTGTCCGCCAATTGTTGATGGATTGGTCGATCAGCTGGTTGACGAATACTTGGCACGTGCTGGTACGTGCACCAGGTTTGAGTCGTGCACGAAGACCCTCGATCACCGCCTTCTTACCACCTGCAAAGCATGGCAAGTCGGCGTTCCCCACCAGCATCATCTCCACAAGCAGCACAATCTGGTCCATATTGCGACGCAAGGCCAGATACGCGCGGATACACAGCGATCGGAAGTACCGGAACGTGGAGCTACGTGGACCTCCCATCAACTCGACGAACTCGTCTGTGAGTTTGAACGGTGCACGCTCAAAGTTCCAGTTACTGCCGGGGCTGTTAGTGAGCAAGAAGCCGAAGTCGATGTGAATTACATGGCCGTCCGTGTCCACCAAGATGTTGCCGTTGTGGCGATCCTTGATCTGGAACACGTAGCAGACGATCGAATAGGCTGCGAGACTCTCCGCAAAGTTCCGTTGAGCTCGGGTGAAGCCAGTGGTTCCCTGTTCGCCGTGCAGTCGGGTGTAGAAGTCCAGGAGAGTGGTGTATCCTGGGTCGTTGCGCTTGAGCGAATCAAGCGATACAGTGTCAGGTACAGCCTCGATAAGGCCAGTCTTCGCTGACGTGGCGATCACGTTGTACGGTCTGGCAGAGAGGAAGCAAAACCGAGTTAATCATGAGGATCCTCAGAGTGGGGATTTATAGCAAACTTACCGCAGAGATAGAGGAAGTGAATATTCCCGGAAGATCCGGTCACACTGGGCAATTAACTGGGCTGCGAACTGCTCCTGACGCAGGTCGTCGTTGCTCTTTACAATGACAGAGAGAAGGCGCCATCCAGGGTGGCCACCGAACGGAGATTCGTGACGAATGCGCGCTTCCTTCTCACTCCATCGCTCACGGAAGACAATCATGGGCTTCTCATCTTCAGATGCGTCGTTTTCCTCTTCGTCCGCATCTTCCTCCACTGCATCAACGTCAGTCATTTCCAGATCCGGTTCTTCTTCCGTAAGACCATCTTCCAGGTCGAATTTCTTTTTCCAAGCTGTCGGATCAGCAAAGTCGAGACTCTCACTTAGATCGCGTTTTCTTTGTTGAAAAAGAGCGTCATCCTGTGAGTCTTTTTCGTCGTCAACAACAGGTGCTGAAGCTTCAGCAGTCTCACTATCTGGGGGACTTTCCGAAGATGTAGTGGTATCAGTGACTGCAGTAGCGTTTTCCTCCTTCTCAGGAGCTGGCTCGACCACGACAGCTGTAGGCTTACGAGAAAACCATGATACAAATGAAGCTGGTTTTTCAGCGGGCAGCGTCATAGGAGAAGGTTCGGGCTCATGGGCATATTCCTCGTCTGAAAAGAAGCCTCCGTTCGAGTCAGTATCCTCGCTGTCCGCTTCTTCAGCCTCAATACTATCCGAGATACCCGATTCACTGCGGTCGAGCGAAGACACAGACGCCTCGGTTCGGTCAGCAGGGTCGTTATCGGAAGAAAGGGCCTCGTTCGACTCCGACTCTTCTTCATCCGCATCTTCAGCGTCGAGATCATCTGAAACATCCTCTTCACTTGGCTCAAGCGAAGATATCGATGCAACAGTGATATCAGCTGCCACAGCAGTCGCTTCAGCAGGCTTTTTAGCGAAGATAGAGGCAAAGATACCAACGGGTGCAGCAGGAGCCACAATAGGTTTTGCTTCGTTGCACTCTTCACTACTCGATGCGGTTGCCTCCTCCTTCGACGGCTCCTTATCTACAACAGAAGTCTCAGTTGGGATCGAAGCAGGAACTGACACATCCGTTGGTTTCTTTGCAAACAACGCGGAGAAAATGCCTGCACTCTGAGCCGGAGCAGCCGCGACACAAGCAGTTTCCGGCGTAGCAGTCTTTGGAGCTTCGATCTCGGCAGGTTTACTCTCGGCCGGTACATCCTCCTTAGCGTCGTCTGGTTGATTCTCGTGTTGGTTTGAGGTCACGTTAACCACCTCAAGTTTTGGCTTTCTGGAGAACAGCGACAAAAAAATGCCTCCATTCGCGGCCGGAGTAGCTGACTCCGTAGCCACTGCATCGTAGGTTTCCGCCTCTGCTTTAGTGGTATCCTCAATGACATCGCTGGCTTGAGTCTGTTCCACTTCGATGTCATTCAAGACACCTTCAGACGATTCAGTCGATGCTGTGTTGTCATCAGTACAGTCAGTCTCAACAGGAGCAAGCTCCATTGCTTCCGCATCCTCTTCATCATTGCGGATTGTCTGTGTCGGTTGCATGCTGCTAGCATGAGGGGCGCTGAATTCATCTTCCGCTTCTTGTTGCGCCTTCTTGGAGAACCAGGACGAGTAAAAGCTGTCAAACTGACCACCAGAGCGCGCCGAGGCGCTGGAAGAGTACTCTTTGATGCTGCGTCGACGAGGTCTCGACGTGTTCCACTGGCCCAATCGTTCCTGTTGTTCCTCTCCAGCTCTCTGAAGACCTTCGTCCTCCTGGAAGCTCTTCCTCGATTTCCGCTTACTCTCCTCCTTCTCATCATCCCCATCCTCACCATCCAGCGGTTCATCAAGCATGGTTTCCAGACTTTTCTCTTCTTCGATCTCTGGCAATGGAGACGAAACACTCGGCGACGGGACAAAGCTCAGTTCGCTCTCAGGCGACGTACTGCTCGACATGGGCGAGTCATCAACTGGTACCATCAGATCGGAGTCCGTCTTCTTGAAAGGCAGTCTCAACGAGAAGACTCGAGATTGATTGCGACTCGTCTTGGATCGTCTTCTCTTTCGCTGTTTCTTAGATGCTGAAGGGACTGAATAGTCCAGAACTTCCACACACAAGAAGTACGGTACTCGTTCTTTAGTGGAGAACGTGAAGCACTCGTCGATCCGGATGCCTTTCACGCGGTGACACGAGTTCCCAATTGGCAGATAAATAACATCGGACGGGAGCATCTGCTCTTCAATCTCGGCTAGACCTTTGCGTAGCTCGCTGTTCCTCTGTGGCCGTGGGGTCGGGATAAGCTGATCTGCCAGGTCTGTAAGAGCCTCCACAAACTTGGGGGTCTGTTTAAACAGCAAGATCTGCTGCGAGTTGCCTTCCTCTGCCCTCGCTTCATCCTGGATAGAGTTCCTCTTACTTAGTAAATGTCCTGCGAATGTTTCGTCTGTCTCGAGAGTCGAGGAGTCCAGATCGTTGTCTGTCGGGAAGATAATCGACCTTCTCTTCTCTAGATTGTGAGGCTTGGCTGCTGACACTTCCTCTACACAGAGGCCTCTGTTCATCAACAACGCTGGTACTCCAGCGCGCATGCCGATTGCTGTAAGTAAGTCTGAATTCTCCTGATCCTGCGACGCAGTGACGCTCAAGTACTCAGACTGGTACTCTTTGGCGTCGTCGCAGAACGATCTCAAGAACCACGTCAATCTGTGAGCAAAGGGCAAGGAATCTCCACTTCTGGACATCAAGAAACACTCCAGCTGATGCTGTTTGGCGTAATTACCATGTATCAGGAAGGTGCAGAGCTGTGGAATGTAGAACTCGAACTCTGCAGCGTTGGCCTCGTAGCTGCTGTACAGCTGTGCCACCACGTCCTGGTGGGCGTAGAGCTTCAATAACAAGTGGAAAACGTCGTCCTCGACGTCGGTCTGTTTAGTTTTGGTACCTGCAAGTCTGTCCATTGTGTTGCGGAGCTTCTCGTCCCAGAAGATGCGGAATTTCTCCACGTTCTCCAGTTCCTGTTGTGTCTTCGTAATGAGCTCTGAATCTCGCGGCGTGGAGTTCGCGGACGACGTGACTGTGGTGTCCGCGGTGCTGGATCTGTCTTTAGTCTTCCTTTGTGGCTTACGGTCTCTGCGGAACACCGAGTCCCGCACTTTGGAGGGCAAAGCGATGAGCGAGAAACGCGCCGCTGGCTCCGACGAGCTTGACGTGCGCCAGTCACTCTCGTCTGCGCCCCAATCTTCGCTACGATTGTCGTCGCTGCTGTCCTCGTTTATCTGTAGGCGCTTGAGAGCTGCGGCCGCCACGGGCGTTGAGCCCTCGGGCATCGTCGTCACCTCCATAGCTCGCTTCGGTGAAGAGAATATTGCGCACTGGGAGCGGTATTTTGTATGGGTACGAGGTGCTGGTCTGTTTTTGATCGCAGGTGCACCTTAGGGCGAGCGACGGGACGATTAGAGGGATCTGCACCGTTTGCGCACGCGGCACTGCGCCTTTCACTGATGACGCCAATAGTCAGTTTCAGTTTTACCCCCCGGATTTGGTAATGCATGTTTGAAGTGACAGATTGTGGGTAGGGTGTACCGATTAATTGGTACTTCCTTCGAAACAGCCGGCAGCACTTCCACACTGACGTTGCCTGCGACGGTTGAGGCAGGGCGGAAGATGGTCGGCCCGAAATGCTTCGAGTCTTGCGTGGTGCAGACTGCACGGTTGCAGTGCAGGCTCCGGCCGCGACCTTCACTTCGGGTGGACTTGTTGTCAACATGTCCATTATTGTATAACTGATCGGTGGGCTGATCTGCCCGGGACCAGCTTTTCTGGCGGCGATATTTGTTTTTGAAGGACAATGGTTAGTGTGTGCTTTTACTTGCGCTGAACATCCGACTCGTATAAGACAGGGCTCGGCCCACATTGTCGCTCTCGCAGGAACAAATAGCCAGCCGCAACTACTGTTCATTCGAGTCAGCGCTGCCGTCGTAGTGCCGCCGCCGCTCCTGGCACGGCATCCTGGACGAAGCAGCGCTCAAAGCCGAGAGATCACCGCATTCGATTTTCTCAGTGTGCCGATCTCGGTTACGTGCCTCGCGCGGCAACGATACGAGCGTTCCCGTCGCGATTGTAATCAACCAACAAAGGCATGGTGGTTTTTGGTACTGCTCTCTGATGTGCCTCACCGACGGGCGCTGATATTTTTCACAGTTTCTTGGTTGTTGGTCGACTGAAAATGTCGCTAGAGAAACTCATTATTGTAGACTCGTTACTGGCGCCATGGAGCGACGACTGTCGTGCAACGCGTTGCGCTAAAGTCGAGAAAAGTAGATTGAAGAGCAGGATCAGTTCTCTCAAGATGCTTTCTCATTTTGACCAACGACAAGCTGGTTCTCTTCTGATTGGGCAAAGGCAGAACTCTAATAAAAACTGGTAAGACCGATATACTAGTAACAAGTCTTGATATATCGGTTTTATTCGGTTTCTGATGTGGCATACACAATAGAATTGTTCGGAAGTGTATCCATCTGCTCACTCGCTTCAGTGACCTTTGAGAGGTAGTGACTACACTGCGGTAAAAGTTGTTTCCACGTGGCAGGAACTTCCAAGACCAGTCTCCACTTCCGCATTCCGCGCGTCCCTTGTAGCCACCGACTCGCTATGATTGACTCCATCCAAAGCGGCTGCTATGTGGCGCTCATCTCTCTCATGCTGGCGTCCAACTTCGTGATCATTCCCGTGCCCGTACAGCTCATCACGTCGGCGTCCGCCATCGTGTACATCGGTTCGACGTTGTCACTCAAGCTGAAGCACGCGCGCGAAGCCAGCGGCGAGAAGAATGAGGAGGTTATGAAGGCTGAGGACGCATACATGTTCCCACTTCTAGGCTCTGGCGTGCTGCTGGGGCTTTACATCCTCTTCAAGGTCTTCGATAAGGACCTGGTGAACCTTCTGCTCACCTCGTACTTCGCTCTTATCGGTGCCTACAGTCTCACGGAGGCCTTCAGTCCTCTGATCTCGAGACTGCTTTTCAATGGCAGCCCCAAGGTCTACAAGCACAACATGAAGATCCCGTTCTACGGCGTCTACAAGCTCGAGTTGTCCACGTCCTGGATGCTTACCTTCGTTTTCGCTGCTGCCTTCGCTGCCGCCTGGTTCCAGACCAAGCACTACCTGCTCAACAACATCTTCGGTATCTCGTTGTCCATCAAGGGCATCGAGTCGCTGTCGCTCGGCAGCTTTAAGGTGGGCGCTATCCTGCTCTGCGGCTTGTTCTTCTACGACATTTTCTGGGTCTTCGGTACGGACGTCATGGTCACGGTGGCCACGTCATTCGACGCCCCTATCAAGCTCATTTTCCCGCGTGAGTTTGCGACTGAGACAGAGAAGCAGAAGAACTCGATCCTCGGACTAGGCGACATCGTGATCCCTGGTATCTTCGTGGCGTTGCTGCTGCGCTATGACGCACACCGCGCCAACGTGACCAGCAGCTCGCAGCCTTTCGCCAAGCCATTCTTCCACGTGAACCTGCTGTTCTACATCCTTGGCCTTGTGGCTACAGTGTCCGTCATGTTCATCTTCAATGCCGCGCAGCCAGCACTGCTGTACCTGGTGCCTGCCTGTCTGGGCTCGGCTCTAGTCACGGCACTTGTCCGTGGCGAGTTCAAGGAGCTGTTCGAGTACTCCGAGGAGGATGAGGAGGAAGACAGTGATAGCCAGGATGACAAGAAGGACGGAGACAAGAAGAAGGACGACGACAAGAAGTCCAAGTAACTGCGTTAGAGTCGACCCAATATTGGTAGAGCTATCGTAATGTGATCGTTTGCATTTTTGCCAGCGACCCACACGTGCATGTTACAGCAGTGTTCGCTGCGTGTTTGGTAGAAACAGGTCCACATATTGCGTCGCCTGGCAGGAACTGGTTGTTCCCTCTAGCACCTCGTAGACGAACACGTTGAACACGCCATTCTTCTAATTCCTGGTCCTCTTTTTGGGCTCCAGATAACCAACGCCACAGTATTTATTACAGATGCAGCGCGGAAACACGTCCGAGGGCAGGATATCGTCCACAAGCTCAACAAGAGAGCAAAGGCGTGCACTAAATGGAAGGCAGCCGTGGCAGTCCAGAATGCCCCTCGTCAAATCAATTGGGGTAAGATTTGCTTATCCTTTTCTATCCGAATTACTTCAGGAATAATTGATCAAAATATAATGCACTGCCCTCCCGATCAATGCAAGCACCCCATACAACCATGACACTGAACTGGGGGAAAGACAAAATGAAGTCGATCAAATGGATACTTCGATTGTATGAAATATGACCGCCTTGCGCCAAAAAGCGCTCCCTTGGATCTGGAATAACGCAGCTGGATGTCCATTTGCACAACGGCCAAGCTAGATCAACTTACAAATCAGCTCCGGCGTCATCACAATGCATACAGCCCAGAATCTCGGCGGTCTTGCTTTTCTTGTTTAGAAACACTCGATTCGACGCATCTTCATGATTCGAGAATCGATGTTTTTTTTCTCTCAGCGATAATCTTCGCGGCAGTTGCGTCACCCACGCCTTCTATCCGACGTAATTCATGAAACGAAGCAGTATTGATATTTGGTGGCTCCAGAAAACTTCGATACGCGCGACTTGCAAACGGTCCAAAATATCGGCCAAATTCGTTGCTTGAAACAATTCCACATCTTGGAGGAAGAGCAAACTCGGTCGCTTGAGCTGGTGTGACGAGCAAAAACACATCCGAGCTACTGTTCACTGCTTTTGCTCGCTCTTTGGCATATGTGTCGTCGTTTATCTTCTGTTTTGTTTGCAGCAGTTTACATTGAATCACCTCGTTGCATTTTACTTGTTGGTCGCCAACCGTCAATTGCACTCGCATATGTAAATCGCCGGCTGAAGCACTAGCGCCGTTGATGACGATTGTATTCATAGCTGAAACCTTCACGCCGCCGTCACGATTTGTGAAACACGTTGAATTATCTGGACCGGATTTTGTATCTTGTTGGTGTATCTCTTCCACCACAGTGCGTGAACTCAGCTCTGTAACCAGAATGTTATGGATTGCACCAAAACGAGCGCCAGCGTGAAATGTGGATAGTGGTACCGGGGTCTCAGAGTAAGCAATCGATTTCACTCGACGGTAGAACGCCACGAATTGTTCAAATAGCTGCCATACCAACACAGAACGCGTCAGATGCTCGTCAAAATTGTCTACTTCACCCAGCTTCTTTGGAAGTTTCCGCATCAACATCATAAGAAGAATGAAAGCGCATTCGAGATGGCCTTCTTCGCCCCATCGGAACCATCCGAAGCTTCGAAGACTATCTACTGTCAAATCTGTACGACCGATACGATCAAATAATCCAAAACGACGGCGAGAGAGGA